CTATCGGTCAAGCGGTGTCAAATTTCGACATCAAATGAGAAAATTGCGGATATTAATCGAGTTTCGGATTAAACTCACCCGTACTGTGAAATTCCGAAAATACCCTTGGAGTAATTAAAACCCTCAAGACCTTTATCCCACTAGGTCTCACCAAACAAAACCTATAAAACCCTCAATTTTTTTAGGCCTTAGGGGATGGAAACCCTTTCGGCAAGGGATTATATGAGAGCAGCTAGCTTTCCAGCAATCCACCATTCTTTTGCCTTCACCTGCCGCCGCCTGAATTCCACCACCTCGGTTTCGGCTGCTGTTGTGGCGCCCAGGGCTTTGGCTTATCAACAGGGCGAATAGAAAGAATAGGAAAAATAGAGACCTCTGGAACGATTGAAAAAGTTGAATTGGACACTTGCTGCACGTCCACTCGCGATCGAATTAGCAGGTGAGAGGCGGAGCTGCTCGGAAAAATCAGTAAATGGGTCAAACAGCAAAGAGAGGGGAGTAGAAGCTCTCAGGGGTTTGTTCTTGTCCTCCTCAATCCACATTCTCACTATTCAGGTGATTCTCGAGAATAATAAGAGCAAGGAACGTCAAGAGAGATGAGGCACTTGTATGTTGGTATTTACTCGTTGGACAACACAATTGCGAGGTAGGTTAGACTCCATGGTTGATTTCACTTGGAAACGTGTTGAACCCTATTCTCAAGGTGGAACTTCTTTGATTTATAAGTTGTGGGACATGGCAATTACAAGGTGGAGCTTTCAGAGCTTTATGCAATTGGCTGCGAAATGCATTTTCTGGACGTGGCAATTACAAGCACTTACAAGAATTAGGAGGGAGCATAGGCGAACTCAGATCAGTTGGTGGTTAGATCAAGCCACTCAGGTTGAGCTAATAAGGTGAGTGTAAAGGGGGTAAATTCTACGCCTTACGGTTTTTCAAGTATTTGCTTTGAGTATTTTTAAGTGTTGATTTACGTGATGTGTGCGCAGTATTTGATTCATGTTTGATATTGCATGATTATGTTTGATGATATGTGCGATGGTTGAGATGTGATTTGAAGTGAATCGTGGATGAGTTTATTTCTTACTAGAAGCTTGATGTCTATGAGTTAGTGTTAAAGTTTAAGAGCAAGTATTTTTAAGAAGTAACTCACATTCAAGAAGGTGAAGTCGTTTTAAGTGTTTTTAGTCACTAGCGCCAGTCCGTTGCCATTTGAGATTTTCAGATAGAGCAGCAGTTATGCTCTTGGATCTTTGAGACAGAGCAGCAGTTATGCTCTTGAGACTTTTAAGATGGGCAGCAGTTATGCCCTTGAGAATCGTGGTGAAGAGCCACCACGATAAGTTTAAGATGTTAGGGGGATGAATCGTTACGACTTCCCTAACTAAGTTTAAGTTTAAGGAAAGCCTAGATGGCTTCTCATACGTATGAGTTGGGCAACCGGACTAGCTAGTGAGGGATCCCCGTGTCAGTCAAATATTTAAGTCAAGCTTTGAGTTTTAAAAGAGGAGAGTAACTTCAACTCTCTCAAAGTTTAAGAGTCAAGATTTTAAGATTGGAAATACAAACAACTTCCACTGGTTAAAGTTAAGTGTTTAAGTAAAGTACTCAAGTATTAGAAGTATTAAAACGTAAGGGCGTAGACTGACCCCAACTCACTCACCAGGCCTTAGTAAGGGAATGAGCGAGAACCAGATCGGTAGCAGCTAGCTAGAAGAGCAGTTAGAGAGCAGCGAGTTCGAGAGGTAAAGTTCGAGAGCAACCAGCTAGAGGAGGGCAGTGCAAGCGTCATGGAGGATGCGTAGTTAAGATTTTTAGTAGCAGCAACGACAGACTCTACCTAGTTATTTGCATTTCATGATTATGAGTATAGACTGGAGATCAGCTTGAGTTTTTAAAGTATGAGTTTTATTTGCCCACGTGTTAGGGCTTTGCTCTGAGCTACAAGTGTGTGTTTCCAGTATTTTGTTTATGAAAATTTTTCCCCGCTGAAATTTAAGATTTGAGTATTTTATTTATCAATGACATTTTAGTAAAAGTAGTACCCGGCCGGGTTAGGGTGTTACAAAATTTATGGTTGAAAAGTGTTTCTTTAATGGTAGATATAACCAATACTAATATCATGTCCTGGAATGTGGGTGGTGCAGGTAGCAGAGCATTTCTCCAAGCGATGAAGCTAATTACCAACCATCATAAACCAGACATCCTCATTTTACTGGAGCCCCAAATTAGCGGCGCTACTGCAGACTTGGTTTGCGGAAAGCTTGGATATCCGGATATCGTTCGTGTGGATGCAAATGGTAGAAGTGGTGGTATTTGGCTATGTTTAGACAGGAAAGTTTTCAATGTAGAAATCACCTCTGCTTGCTTTCAGCACCTCACGGCCAGGATTACTACCGCCAACTTTCCGAGTTTTTATCTTACTACTATCTATGCTTATCCTAACTATCAATTGCAGCCGAGCCTTTGGAATTCTCTTATTAGCTATAGCTCCACGATTTCTCTGCCGTGTTTCCTAACAGGGGATTTTAATGCGGTCAGATCTCTGAATGAGAAGTCTGGATTGGGCACGGCAAGTATTGCTCATCGCTGTCGAGCCTTTAACAAATTTATCGATCAGGCTAACTTGGTTGATCTAGGCTTCTCAGGTCCTCGCTTAACGTGGTCAAGAGGAGATGCTGCGAGAACTTACAAAGCCAGCAGGATTGATAGGAGTCTATGCAACACGTCTTCGAATGAGTTGTTTCCGAATTCTGCAGTAGTTCATCTTCCGCGGCAATAGTCTGATCACTCCCCTGTCCTTACCTCCACTGGGGGATGGAGCTCTATCAACCCTTCTCTTTGTCCATTTAGATTCGAGGCCGCCTGGCTAGCACATGATAATTTTTCTCCCTTTTTGGCAGGTATTTGGGATCATAACAGCTCCTTGTGCGCAGCTCTGCAGGCCACGACTAGTCATCTCAAGGAGTGGAGCAAGAACACAGTGGGCAACCTGTTCCAGCAAAAACGAAGGCTACTGAAAAGGATCAAAGGCGTACAAACTCGCCTAGCAGTTACCTTCGATCCCGGGCATGCTAAACTGCTCACTAAGCTGGAAAAGGAGCTCGATAAAGTTATGGAACAAGAAGAGATGATTTGGTTCCAGAGATCGAGAAAGCATTGGGTCAAGTTTGGCGATCGGGACACCGGGTATTTCCATCAACAAGCTAGCATCCGCAGGAGAAGAAACAAAATCCAAGCCCTCAAGGATTCTGCAGAAGAGTGGATCATGGAACCGGCAGCCCTCGCTAAACACGTTTTCGACTACTATCTGCTTTTGTTTTTGCAGGACTCCTCCCCATATGTCGACCACATGCCCAAGAATCGTTTTCCTTGGGCCTCCCAACAGGAGATGATCTGCCTCCTTCACCCTTTTACTGCGGCGGATATCTACCGGGCGATCATGGATATGAAACCCTTGCAAGCCCCTGGACCGGATGGATTCCAAGCTTTGTTCTACCAAAGTAACTAGGCTACGGTGTGTAAGACTTTGACTAACATGGCTTTGGAGTTTTTTGATACAGGACAGATCGCAGAATCAATCACGGAGTCTACTGATGACTCGGTATTTGCACATGTTTTCCCCTTTGTTTCTTGATTGTTTGAGCTTGAATTATTGCGTCTTTGGCCTATTTTATGCTAGGTTGTGTTCCTTTGTCCCATTTCAGGTCCTAGCACATAAAGTGAAGCATAGGCGCAAGTTTCAAGTCAATCAGAGATCAATTGACGATTCGAGAGAAGAAACTCGGGCATGACCTGAAGAAGAATGGATTTCTACCTCACTTTATGGACAAAGAATCATGCAAGCTTGTTATGAAACGAAAGAGGACGAGACTACGAGCGTCTGGGATCAAACGGCGATTGATTCGGAGTCCGGACGAGGGAGAAACGAAGCATTAAACAGAGGCTGAGCAAGCTGCACGGGCAGACCAGCGTGGCCACGCACGGCCGTGCAAGTGACCAGTTTGGCCGTGCGGGATTGTGCGTGGGCACGCACGGGATTGTGCGTGGCCACGCACGGCCGTGCAACATACAATTCTGGCCGTGCGAGTTGGCTGAGGTTCAACTAATTGATACGCCGCGTTTTGAGGTGCACGGCCAGAATGGTGATGTGCACGGCCGTGCACCCTGGCCGTGCGAGTCGGGATTTCCTGGTTTTAAGCCAAATTCCGAACCAAAGAATAGAGAGAGCTGGGTTTTGGATCCCAAACACCCAAGGGACGAACCCTAGAGAGAGAGGGCGATTTGAGGGCATTCTTGGAGTAGAGAAGGAGGATTTCTTCGCCTTGGAAGCTCGAGGAACAAGCCCGGACTTGAAGACTGATCATCTGAAGATTCTTACTGCAGTCTCTCTCTTCTCTATGGAGTAACTTCCCTTCACTTAGGTTTTGAGGAACCCTAGCTATGTTTGTTTGATTGGATGATTGTATGAGTACTCTGACTGGATAATCTTGAGTTCATATTCAATCTATGCATGTTTTCATGATTCAATTCTGCTTTAGTCGAGATTATTGATTCTGCTTTGGTCCTATGAGAGGGAATACCTGATTAGGTCAATAGAGCACCATAGATTGATAGTAGTGGATCGATTGCTTTAGTCGAGGGTTGATTCACTGCTTTGTATCGATTGAGAACCTCTTTCGATAGAGGGAGTCTAGTTCAGAACGCCTTGATCAGTTGTTCTAGAGAAGGATACGTCCCTCTAGGCAATTGACTCAAGAGGGCCTTGTTCCTTTAGTCGAGACTCAAGGTCTAGTCAAGGATTCTCCGCATTGTGAATGAAAGTGAAACAGGTTAGAGATCATCAATCGTTAATCTGGCTAGTGGCTAGGGGGAATCATACCTAAGTGAGTTCCCAACCTGTAATTAGATTAACTTTAACTGTAGTTTGCTAGAGTAGTTTTAGTTCTTTCATCTTAATCTGATTTGCTAAATAATAAACTGAAGCTGAGTAATAGTAACTCTAGAGACCCGTGGATTCGATATTTATCACTTGAGCCACTATACTGCAGTCCCTTTCATTGGTTACACTTGGCCATTGTTAGGTGTTGTGTCGTAGCGAGTCAAGTTTTTGGCGCCGTTGCCGGGGACTTTCTAGAGTATTAGGAAAGGCAGAAGTTTGTTACTTTAGCGTTTTTCGTTTCTTTTCTTTTCCACCCTTGCTTTTCACTTGGGTGTTTTTGTTTTTGTTGGTGCAGATCTGAATCATGGATCCTAATGGCTTCTCCAATCATTGGGGGTATCCACCGCCATCTGGGTGGTATTACCCCGAGACTCCGTGGAGCAATCAAGGCGGAGAAGACTATGGATTCGGGTTCCAGTACCAACCCCCTTACTACGGAGAACAACCGGACCCCTGGGCATATCAAGAACAACCTCATTATCAAGAAGAATTTCTCCCACAACCGGAAGGGCCATCGGCGCTGGAGTTACTCATGGAGCAGTATGCTCGAGACTGTGAGAGAACATGCTCCAGGATGGATCAGTGTGTCCATGCCTATCGTGAAACAGATGAGATCCTCCTGAGCCTTAAGAAGAGCGTCGATGATCTTGAGCGATCTTGGGCGCAACCTGCTCCAGATCACCCTTCTGCTACCATACAAGAAGAGGAGGAGGAAGAAGAAGGCTACAAGGGCATTGTGGAACACACTGAAGTTGTCACGGAGAGCTCCCGTGATGATCATGATCAGGCCTGTCATGTCGTAGCCGACCACACCTTCCCACACCCCAACCAGAGCTTTGAAGAGGCGGGCATGAGTGAGGAGATGCAAGAAGATCTCATGAAAGAAATTGCTTGGCAACTTGCTCTCCAATCCGTGCTAGAAGAAGAAGAGAAAGAAAGGGTGCAGAAAGAAGTTGTGGAGGATGAAGAAAGTGAAGCAGGAGGAGTTCTTGATCATTTCCCAGGGGTGATACCACACGAACAAGTAAGGGAGGTTGAAGAAGCAATTGGCGTCCAGGCTGAGGACGGAGTTCAGGTGGAAGAGGCCTGCACCGGCCATGAGTTACATGTGATATCTCCACCAAACTTTGAGGAACTGCTTAGCAAGGACCCATTTGCAGTGTCTCTTTGCCAGACCAAGGCCACCTCGACATCGGTCCCTCTTGGTGGACGTGATGGTGGCCAATCGATGCTGTCATATCTGGTTTGGGGCAATGAGACGAGAGAAGAGAAGAAGAGGTCTCGAGGGTGGAGACTTCATCTGCATCAAGTGCACGAGCCTTCATCACCTGCCACACCACATGCTCGTGACTTGAGACTCCACCTCATCGACGAGAACCTCAACTTCAAGGAGGTTCTAGCATGGACCGAAACTTAGGAGCCATCGTCCGGCTCACGACGTGAAAGAAGCGCTTGTTGGGAGGCAACCCAACCAGTCGGTTTGCATTTCTTTCTCTATTTCTCCTCGGTTGAGTCAGTTTTGTTATTTGATTTTAGAGTCAATAACTCAACCTTTGTGAGATTTTGTGTGGTGTTTGTGTTCTGATTACTCTCTCTTCCTGGAATGCACCGCCTGACCCATTCATCATCATTCACCCTTGATCTGGTAACTTCGTTCTACCCTCCCTATCTTTCCTCCATTGAGGACAATGTCGTGCTTAAGTGTGGGGGGATGTTCGATTATGTATGCGGATGAATGTTTGGCTGTTTGTGTGCTTGGAGCCTAGTCCACTGTCCAAATTTTTAAATTTGAGGGCTCCAAGTACGTGTTTCCTTGCAAGTGCCTGCTCAGTATGCTTTGAATTGACAGTCTTTACAGTAATATGCAACCTAGGGAGGTAGTGTAGCACTATGGAGGATGTTGATGCATTTAAGAAGTTTCATTTCTTCTTCATATTGAGTTGGTTGATTGAGTGAATTAGTGATCTTAGGACCCTTGAATTGTGTGGTGTTGTGGATTCTCTACCTGTCATGGACTCTTGTATCATGTTTTGAGTTTAACAGGTGCTCGAAATTGTGCTTCAAAATAACGTCTCCCGTGCGAATAGGGCGAAAGTGTGTAAGGGGAGACGGGAATCCGTTCCCAATTTCCACCTACTACCTCCAGCCCCCTTACATGTCTTTCCCCCGCACGAGGCTCGAGACATCCGCTCCTGGCATGGCCGGTAAGAGCAGGTTGGGACCCTTGAAAAGAAAAGAAAAATAACAGAAAACAAGCAAAACAGAAAAAAAGGGGTTCCAACCATCTTCGAGAAGAAAATAGAGCACCTTGAAAAATGTGAGTCCATGATCCTTTGTTTTTGAGAATCTCTTCATCCACAATCCATTTGTCCTCTGTTCACTATTTGCCATGATGCCGACTCGCCGAAGAAGTTATGAGATGACTTGTGCGTCGGTTGACCTCGTAAGTTGCTAAATGATCTAGGAAGTCCTCTACCTAAGATCTGGGTTGTTTGTTGCTATAGAGGTCTGGAGAGTTGCATTGGTTTGAGTTAGGTTTGCTTGGGGACAAGCAAACAGTTAAGTGTGGGGGGATTTGATGACTCGGTATTTGCACATGTTTTCCCCTTTGTTTCTTGATTGTTTGAGCTTGAATTATTGCGTCTTTGGCCTATTTTATGCTAGGTTGTGTTCCTTTGTCCCATTTCAGGTCCTAGCACATAAAGTGAAGCATAGGCGCAAGTTTCAAGTCAATCAGAGATCAATTGACGATTCGAGAGAAGAAACTCGGGCATGACCTGAAGAAGAATGGATTTCTACCTCACTTTATGGACAAAGAATCATGCAAGCTTGTTATGAAACGAAAGAGGACGAGACTACGAGCGTCTGGGATCAAACGGCGATTGATTCGGAGTCCGGACGAGGGAGAAACGAAGCATTAAACAGAGGCTGAGCAAGCTGCACGGGCAGACCAGCGTGGCCACGCACGGCCGTGCAAGTGACCAGTTTGGCCGTGCGGGATTGTGCGTGGGCACGCACGGGATTGTGCGTGGCCACGCACGGCCGTGCAACATACAATTCTGGCCGTGCGAGTTGGCTGAGGTTCAACTAATTGATACGCCGCGTTTTGAGGTGCACGGCCAGAATGGTGATGTGCACGGCCGTGCACCCTGGCCGTGCGAGTCGGGATTTCCTGGTTTTAAGCCAAATTCCGAACCAAAGAATAGAGAGAGCTGGGTTTTGGATCCCAAACACCCAAGGGACGAACCCTAGAGAGAGAGGGCGATTTGAGGGCATTCTTGGAGTAGAGAAGGAGGATTTCTTCGCCTTGGAAGCTCGAGGAACAAGCCCGGACTTGAAGACTGATCATCTGAAGATTCTTACTGCAGTCTCTCTCTTCTCTATGGAGTAACTTCCCTTCACTTAGGTTTTGAGGAACCCTAGCTATGTTTGTTTGATTGGATGATTGTATGAGTACTCTGACTGGATAATCTTGAGTTCATATTCAATCTATGCATGTTTTCATGATTCAATTCTGCTTTAGTCGAGATTATTGATTCTGCTTTGGTCCTATGAGAGGGAATACCTGATTAGGTCAATAGAGCACCATAGATTGATAGTAGTGGATCGATTGCTTTAGTCGAGGGTTGATTCACTGCTTTGTATCGATTGAGAACCTCTTTCGATAGAGGGAGTCTAGTTCAGAACGCCTTGATCAGTTGTTCTAGAGAAGGATACGTCCCTCTAGGCAATTGACTCAAGAGGGCCTTGTTCCTTTAGTCGAGACTCAATGTCTAGTCAAGGATTCTCCGCATTGTGAATGAAAGTGAAACAGGTTAGAGATCATCAATCGTTAATCTGGCTAGTGGCTAGGGGGAATCATACCTAAGTGAGTTCCCAACCTGTAATTAGATTAACTTTAACTGTAGTTTGCTAGAGTAGTTTTAGTTCTTTCATCTTAATCTGATTTGCTAAATAATAAACTGAAGCTGAGTAATAGTAACTCTAGAGACCCGTGGATTCGATATTTATCACTTGAGCCACTATACTGCAGTCCCTTTCATTGGTTACACTTGGCCATTGTTAGGTGTTGTGTCGTAGCGAGTCAAGTTTTTGGCGCCGTTGCCGGGGACTTTCTAGAGTATTAGGAAAGGCAGAAGTTTGTTACTTTAGCGTTTTTCGTTTCTTTTCTTTTCCACCCTTGCTTTTCACTTGGGTGTTTTTGTTTTTGTTGGTGCAGATCTGAATCATGGATCCTAATGGCTTCTCCAATCATTGGGGGTATCCACCGCCATCTGGGTGGTATTACCCCGAGACTCCGTGGAGCAATCAAGGCGGAGAAGACTATGGATTCGGGTTCCAGTACCAACCCCCTTACTACGGAGAACAACCGGACCCCTGGGCATATCAAGAACAACCTCATTATCAAGAAGAATTTCTCCCACAACCGGAAGGGCCATCGGCGCTGGAGTTACTCATGGAGCAGTATGCTCGAGACTGTGAGAGAACATGCTCCAGGATGGATCAGTGTGTCCAGGCCTATCGTGAAACAGATGAGATCCTCCTGATCCTTAAGAAGAGCGTCGATGATCTTGAGCGATCTTGGGCGCAACCTGCTCCAGATCACCCTTCTGCTACCATACAAGAAGAGGAGGAAGAAGAAGGCTACAAGGGCATTGTGGAACACACTGAAGTTGTCACGGAGAGCTCCCGTGATGATCATGATCAGGCCTGTCATGTCGTAGCCGACCACACCTTCCCACACCCCAACCAGAGCTTTGAAGAGGCGGGCATGAGTGAGGAGATGCAAGAAGATCTCATGAAAGAAATTGCTTGGCAACTTGCTCTCCAATCCGTGCTAGAAGAAGAAGAGAAAGAAAGGGTGCAGAAAGAAGTTGTGGAGGATGAAGAAAGTGAAGCAGGAGGAGTTCTTGATCATTTCCCAGGGGTGATACCACACGAACAAGTAAGGGAGGTTGAAGAAGCAATTGGCGTCCAGGCTGAGGACGGAGTTCAGGTGGAAGAGGCCTGCACCGGCCATGAGTTACATGTGATATCTCCACCAAACTTTGAGGAACTGCTTAGCAAGGACCCATTTGCAGTGTCTCTTTGCCAGACCAAGGCCACCTCGACATCGGTCCCTCTTGGTGGACGTGATGGTGGCCAATCGATGCTGTCATATCTGGTTTGGGGCAATGAGACGAGAGAAGAGAAGAAGAGGTCTCGAGGGTGGAGACTTCATCTGCATCAAGTGCACGAGCCTTCATCACCTGCCACACCACATGCTCGTGACTTGAGACTCCACCTCATCGACGAGAACCTCAACTTCAAGGAGGTTCTAGCATGGACCGAAACTTAGGAGCCATCGTCCGGCTCACGACGTGAAAGAAGCGCTTGTTGGGAGGCAACCCAACCAGTCGGTTTGCATTTCTTTCTCTATTTCTCCTCGGTTGAGTCAGTTTTGTTATTTGATTTTAGAGTCAATAACTCAACCTTTGTGAGATTTTGTGTGGTGTTTGTGTTCTGATTACTCTCTCTTCCTGGAATGCACCGCCTGACCCATTCATCATCATTCACCCTTGATCTGGTAACTTCGTTCTACCCTCCCTATCTTTCCTCCATTGAGGACAATGTCGTGCTTAAGTGTGGGGGGATGTTCGATTATGTATGCGGATGAATGTTTGGCTGTTTGTGTGCTTGGAGCCTAGTCCACTGTCCAAATTTTTAAATTTGAGGGCTCCAAGTACGTGTTTCCTTGCAAGTGCCTGCTCAGTATGCTTTGAATTGACAGTCTTTACAGTAATATGCAACCTAGGGAGGTAGTGTAGCACTATGGAGGATGTTGATGCATTTAAGAAGTTTCATTTCTTCTTCATATTGAGTTGGTTGATTGAGTGAATTAGTGATCTTAGGACCCTTGAATTGTGTGGTGTTGTGGATTCTCTACCTGTCATGGACTCTTGTATCATGTTTTGAGTTTAACAGGTGCTCGAAATTGTGCTTCAAAATAACGTCTCCCGTGCGAATAGGGCGAAAGTGTGTAAGGGGAGACGGGAATCCGTTCCCAATTTCCACCTACTACCTCCAGCCCCCTTACATGTCTTTCCCCCGCACGAGGCTCGAGACATCCGCTCCTGGCATGGCCGGTAAGAGCAGGTTGGGACCCTTGAAAAGAAAAGAAAAATAACAGAAAACAAGCAAAACAGAAAAAAAGGGGTTCCAACCATCTTCGAGAAGAAAATAGAGCACCTTGAAAAATGTGAGTCCATGATCCTTTGTTTTTGAGAATCTCTTCATCCACAATCCATTTGTCCTCTGTTCACTATTTGCCATGATGCCGACTCGCCGAAGAAGTTATGAGATGACTTGTGCGTCGGTTGACCTCGTAAGTTGCTAAATGATCTAGGAAGTCCTCTACCTAAGATCTGGGTTGTTTGTTGCTATAGAGGTCTGGAGAGTTGCATTGGTTTGAGTTAGGTTTGCTTGGGGACAAGCAAACAGTTAAGTGTGGGGGGATTTGATGACTCGGTATTTGCACATGTTTTCCCCTTTGTTTCTTGATTGTTTGAGCTTGAATTATT